GACGAGCTCTGGGGGGACAGTAAAGCCTGGAATGCACTTATCGTCGAGGATCTGGACTGGATAAGAAGATTCCTACTAGACGACGAGGACATTGGCTGCGACATCAGGGGCTTGGTACGATGGTTACGAACACAGCATGTGCAAGCCGCACAAGCCATGATCACGCGTGCGTGGCTCAGGTACAAGGCATGGCAGCACGACTTATACCGACATCGGATATGGCAAAGGCAGTTGCACCGACTAGCGCAAGACTTTGGACTGACCACGCCCAACTTCGATGGACGGCCACCTGCACAACACAGTGGCTACATATGCTATGAGTGTGGCAAGATCCAAAAAACTCGGGGAGCATGGAAGCGCCATCGCACCATGGAGCACATCGGCTACGACCTCCCCGAATTGCTCGCCCGTTCGACACCCTGCCCTGGGTGCGGGAAGGACTTCGTAACGCGATCGCGCATACTCAAGCGCCTGAGAAGGTGCCCCAGGTGCCTGGCTGTACTCCAAGCAATTGAAGTCCCAATGGATTTGCAGGAGGCAGTCGAACGCCGAGAAGAGGAACGAGAGGCCGTGGCGACGAGGAAGGCAATGGGTCATGGAGCTACAAAGGCGCTGGTGCCCGCCCAACAGGTCATACACATCAAGCTTGCCGACCACATCGAACAGCATCAGCTCCAGCTCTCGCCGGCGCCGCCTGCAGCAGCGGCCCCTCAACCAGCGACGCCACCTGCAAGTGCATTCGCACCGTGCAGGCCCATGGTTACTACGGCTATGTTCTTACTGCACCTTTTCTCAGGCAGACGCCGAACCGAGGATTTCCAGCGCCACTTCGAGATGAACATTCGGGAATGCAATTTGGTAGTATTATCGATCGACGTGCAGATAGACCCCGACAAAGGAGACCTGACGAAGCCAGACGTCGTCGAATATTGGTGCGCGGCGATGCGACAGGGCAAAATATTTGGCATTGTTGCTGGCCCCCCCTGCGAGACGTGGTGCTCATCGCGCTGGCATGCCGCCGAGGGAAAAGCTCCACGGCCACTACGTACACACGACTTCCCCTGGGGCATACAAGCAGCCAATCCAGCGGAGCGTCAACAGATAGCACTAGCCAACGAGCTATATAGGACAGCTCTACTACTCATCACCACTGGCTTGCAGTACAATGTATCCGCCGTGCTCGAGCATCCCGCTCCAGCCACTTGGTGTCCTCAAGCGCCGAGCAGCTGGCAGCGAGCGGAGACGCTCTGGCTTTTGGAGCAGACGAGCGTCGAACTGCACTACATAGACCAGTGCCAGTTTGGGCAGGCCGCGCGAAAACCAACATGCCTGATGGCGGTACACATCAGTGAACTTACACAGGAGCTGGGGGCGGTACCTGGGGGACAGCTATGTCGACATAGCGGACATGGCAGAGCTTACGGGCGAGACGGCCAAGGCGGCTGGAGGACCGCCCCCCTCAAAGAATATCCTTCAATGCTGTGCAAGGCAATGGCAACTGCATTCGCAGCCCACTGGGGACAGCTCGCTGACGAAGAGGCAATGTGGGCCGAAACGGATGAATGCTATCACAGGTTCTACGCCCCCCTGGACTACTACATCGAGCCAGAGCAGCTGGGCGACGACTGTCACAGGACATGGGGTATCCAACGGCGCTAGCAGCTGACACTGCAGTTGCGGCACTACGTTTGCCTGCACAGATATTCGGGATTAATTGTATCAGGATTATTCATACTTGCCAGTCCATGGAAGGGGCCATCAGATTGCAGCTTGGTGCACAGACTATTGGCATCTTACAGATTGGAGGGCAGTTTGCATTACAGAATGGCGTACAGTTGGGTAATATTTCAGAGTGGCAGCAGGCGCGATAGCATCAGTGCACCTACTGTATGTACTCAAGACCCGCGTTACTATTGGGTTATTGGCACGGCTTCGTCTTGGACAGCGATTGCGTGCCATACTCGAGGGGGGGGGACCCGTAGCGCCCATACGGGTGGGCACGATCCCTCAATGGCGACGGAGCGTGCCCCCCCCTCGAGTACTTTCTGGATTTGATTGGCTTTCTTTCAACCCTGGCATTCACTTCTATGATTATCCAGCGTCCTGGACAAGAGCAGCATGGACACGGCAGTATATTTGCGGCAAAGAGCTTCCTGGGAGACAGGCACTACGGCGTCATGGGTTAAGTCCTGAGGAAGCCCCGAATGCGTGGGAAGACCTCAGGCAGCGTCGCCAAGTTTTGCTTTGGTTAGGACGCAAGTCCTGTGGAAGCCCCGAATGCGAGGGAACACCCCAGGCACAAGTCGCTACGTTTTGCTGTGAGTATCCTGGCGGCGACTGGCTACCTACAACTCGGAGGGCACCAGCTGGCTGGCAGCGGGCGGTCCACACGTCGCCGTCGTACTACTGGCCGACATCGACAGCATACCCAGCACGGCCCCGCACACCTCTTGTCAAGTCAACGCTGCCCTGGTGAGGCATGGATCAAACTTCGAGACGGGCTCGAAGGGCGGGGGGGAAGGACGAGTACTTCCCGCGCCCACCAGGGGGGATGGTGAGGGGCAGGGGGGGGGGGGGTAGGACGGCCACTACCTGCGCCCCCGCGGTCCGCCCTAGCTCGCCACCCCCCACCATTCCCATGGAGAAGGAGGAGCTACCCGAGCGCCCGAGGGCGAAGCACAGGACAGCCGAGACATCCCACTCCGACGATAATAAGTACCAGGCCTGGGGTTCGCCCCCACCGAGGGCACTGTGACCCCTAGCCATAGCGGGACGAGGTGGGACAGCCAAGACCCCCACTTGAAGTCGGTGCGTGGAGGCCTTGGAAGCCCACAACCAACGCAACACCAGCAACGATCCGACTCCCCAACGACCCGACCAGCACGCTCCACATCCTACACTCAGCCCTACAAACGACCGCCATCCACAACCCCCAAGATCAGCGCCCTCCTGTACTGCAGAGGCGGGGGCGGCATGAATGAGGACATCGGATACTACGGCTAGTCGAGTACCAGGACGACCAGCACGACTGGACAGGATCACGCAGGAGTACCAACCCGCCCAGCACGACTGGGACGAGGGATACAAGTTCGAGCACCACAGTGTCAAGCAGCACTGCAGGCTCGATCACAGCATGGACTACTCGAAGAGAAGGGGCGGCGCGCCCCTCGGCGAGGGATACACAGCGCCAGGCGCCGAAGGGTGTATCCCCGTCGCCCTCGCGTGGCATGCGAGGGGCCGAGGCCAGCCGGCCCTGATCGGCATGATGACGAGAGCAGCCGCTGCAGACTTGCTGGAGCCCACGAGCGGCTCGGCGAGCCTCCACAGCGCGCTGCGCCGAAGGGTGGAGGCCGCCGCAGCTGGGGGCAGCCAGCCACCCGAAGACCCCACGGCGGCTGGGCTCAGCGCGAGGCGCCGAAGGGAGCCCAGCCGCCACCACGCGGCCGCCAGCCCACGAAGAGGCCGTCGGCCCGGCCGTGCGCCGTGCCGCGCTGCCTGACGCCCGCGGGCGCGGGCGCGCGCGGCGCCCGCCCATGGGCCCTGACGGGCCCCCTTTTTTGCTGAAGCCCGGCCCCCTTCTCTCTCCTCTGAGGTTTAACTTGGTCCCTGGTTCCCCCTGCTTTCCTCGGGGTCGGGTTCCCGGGGCCGCTGTCCGAGTGCCCGCACGGCCCTGAAGGGCCGCTGCGGCGCGCTCCGCGCCCGCGGGGCGCGCGACAAGACGCTGCATAGCGAGAAATGTAGAAATGTAGGAGGAGGAGGAGGAGAAGGAGGAGGAGGAGGAGGAGGAGGAGGAGGAGGAGGAGGAGGCGGGGCTCGGCACCTCTGCGCGCGCGTGCTAATTAAAGGGGCTCCCCCTCGACCGCCCGGCCCCCTCCCCCCTCCGCCCTCGAGGAGGACGACGATCGCGCCGCCCTTTGCGGGCCTGGCCCCCCGCCCAGACCCCCTCGAGTAATGAAAAAATCATGACGGGAGGTTTTTCCTAGTTTTCGGCCTCTGGGGGTCCTCACCGGGCCTCGGGAACGTCAAAAAACGACTCAGGATGCAAAGCCGGTCATGGGGAAAGGGTCGGGACTTCTGGGGGTCGACGTAATGAAAATGTCATTACGTCGGGGGTCTGGGCAGCTGGCCTCGGCTCGAGCTCCTGCCGCTGACGCCACAGTCGTCTCACAGGAGTGCCCGTGCGCGCTGCAGACGGCACAGCGTCCCCACCGGCGACCACGACCGGTGGCGCTCTTTCCGCCGTCCCGCACCTCGTGGCCTTCTCTCGGCACCACCGGTACGTCCGCGCACCTCCGCGGCCGTACCGGTGGTGCCGAGGCCGGTGCGTCCGCGCACCGCCGCGGCCGTACCTTCTCTCGTACGTCGTTTTCCTCCGCGGCCGTAAAAAGGCACGCGGGCTGGCACACGGGCAAGGAGGTGGAGCCACTGTGACACAGCACGTGGGCCAAAGAGCCCATGCGGCCATCTGCGCTGCAGGGGTCTCGGCGGGAAGGCGCGCCGCCATGTGGAGCTGCCACATCGCCTCCCTGGCTCCATATCTCTGCCATTACGCCATGCTCAGCCATCAGCAGGAGGTCCTCGTCGGATCCCACCTGCGCGCCGCCCTCGGCATCGCGGGGACCTGCTGCGTCCCCCTTGGCCTGCTCACCAGCCTGGGCTCATGCTACGGCAGGAGCGGCTGGCCCAGGTGCCTGGTCGCGACATCCCTCGCCGTCGCCGCACTCGCCTATGCTTGCCCTATGTGTACCCCTACGTAGGCCGTCCATGAGTGCACCTCTGTTACACCTGTGCTGAGTTTGAACGAATCCGAGCCTGGGTTGGTCGAAGACCCAGGTGGGCAGTCCAAGCGTGCCAGGAGGAGGAAAAGGAGGAAGAGGATGAGGAGGAGTAGGAGGAGGAGAATGGGGAGGAGGAGGAGAAGGAGGAGGAGGAGGAGGAGGAGGAGGAGGAGGAGGAGTGCGAGGAGGAGGAGGAGTCCCACCCCTCCGTCGCCCTCTCAGGTTCGAGGGCCTTGATATCGTCCTCCAGGACGCGTTGACTGCCGTGGTCGAGATCGAGGTCGAGCTGAAAGGCCGCCGGCCTCCTACGGGTGGAGGTCGATGATGAGGATCGAGCGCCCGAGGATCGATGAGGATCCAGGAGGAATATGAGGAAGAGGATGATGAGGATCGAGGCTCGAGGAGGAGGAGGAGGAGGAGGAGGAGGAGGAGGAGGAGGAGGAGGAGGAGGAGGAGGAGGAGGAGGTAGGAGGAGGAGGAGGAGGAGGAGGAGGAGGAGGAGGAGGAGGAGGAGGAGGAGGAGGAGGAGGAGAGAGGAGTAGGAGGAAGAGTAGGAGGAGGAGGGAGGAGGAGGAGGAGGAGGAGGAGGAGGAGGAGGAGGAGGATCCTCGGCGCCCCCTCTCGGGCCTCGCTCCCCTGACAGGCGGGAGGACGCTCAAGGCGCAGCAGCAGCTCGCGGTCGCGGACCTTCTGCAGGAGCGGCGGGGGGTGGGGTGGGTGGGGGGGCAGGGAAGAAGATAGCGATAACAACGATAACAACGATCACAACGATAACAACGATAACAACGATAACAACGATAACAACGATAACAACGATCACAACGATAACAACGCCCCCAAGCGTTGCGGTGACCACACTGCGTGGAGCGTTCGTGGGGACTCGGGGTGGCCGCGCGGCTCTTTGGGACTCTTGGGCCGCTCCCCGAGGACGTCTCTCTCGGCCCTCGGGGCCCTCGAAGCCGCGCGGCGACGCACCGCTCAGCGAGGCCAGGCGGGATCTCGAGGCAACCGCACCATGTACTCCGCCTCTTCCGCCTCCTCCTCCTCCTCCTCCTGCTCCACCTCCGCCCTCTCCTCCTCCTGCTCCTCCTCCTCCTCCTCGGCCTCCACTCCTCCTCCTTCTCCTCTCCTCCCTCTCCTCCTCCTCTTTCCTCCTCCTCCTCCTCTCCTCCTCCTCCTCCTCTTCCTCCTCCCTCCTCCTCCCTCCTCCCCTCCTCCTCTCCTCCTCACCTTCTTCCCCTCCCCTCCCTCCTCCTCCTCCTCTCCTCCTTCTCCTCTCCTCCTCCTTCCTCCCTCCTCCCTCCTCCTCTCCTCCTCCACCTCCGCCCTCCTCCTCCCCCTCCTCCTCCTCCTCCTCCTCCTCCTCCTCCCCCTCCTCCTTCCTCCCCTCCTCCCTCCTCCTCCTCCCTGCTGTTCTCTCTCCTCCTCCTCCGCCTCTCTTCTCCTGGCTCTTCCGCTTCCTCCTCCTCCTCCTCCTCCTCCTCCTCCTCCTCCTCCTCCCCTCCTCCCCCTCCTCGTTCTTGCGGAGGAGCCACGACGCCGAGAGACGCCGCCGCCCGCGCCTTGCTGGCGCTCCCGGGGCCTTCTCGCGTCGGACGACCAGGGTACGAAGTTCGTAACGCTTCCCCTCGAGGAGGGGGAGATGGAGGAGGAGGAGGAGGAGGAGCCGGAGGAGGAGGAAAAGGAGGAGGAGGAGGAGGAGGAGGAGGAGGAGGAGGAAAAGGAGGAGGAGGAGGAGGAGGAGGAGGAGGAGGAGGAGGAGGAGGAGGAGGAGGAGGAGGAGGAGAAGATGGGGGTGGCGAGGAGGGTTTGGAGCCGACGCTTCCTCTGCCCGGCCGAGGCAGGCCAGTGGGAGAACTCGGGGGTAGGCCCGCAGCCCACCCTGCTGCGCCCTGGGGCAGCGAGTGCGCGGCAGGCCGAGGCGCGGGCGTGCTCAGTCTCGCTCCTCGCGCCAGCCTGTAAGAGCCCCCCCGCCACCTCTTGGGCCATCTTGAAGCCATCTTGAGCGTCTAGGAGCCATGCTTCGGCGACTAGGTGCCCTCTTGGACCGTCTTGGGGGCCCCTTGGGGCCCTCTTGGCCCGTCTGGGGGCCATTATGGCTCCGAGAAAGTCGCGCGACAAGACGCGAGAACCCCCGAGAGATTTGAGAGCGAGGGGCTTGGGTCACTCAAATAATCTTCAGGAGTGGGGAGTGAGGCTCAGAGGGTTAGGCAAAGGACCCGAGGACACGCCCACTCCGTCCCAAAGGGCATGGTAGGGCGCGCTGGAATCAGAGCCACTGCCTCGCAATCAAGCTGCCGCCGCTGCCCAGGCGAGCTTTCCCGCGGCGGGGGTGAGAGATGGCGTCGCGTAGTCGCAGGGCGCGTCGAGCGACGAGCAGGAGCACGGAGAGAAGCGGGCGGCAAGGAGAGGAGGAGATGTGCGTGGGGTGCACGGGGTCCCGGCCCCAGCGTCTCGCTCCGTGCCTCGCCGCGCCCTCCTGGAACGCCGCGTGGGCCCGCGGTGCCCTCGTGGCTCACTCTGGGGACCGCGGCGACGCACCCGGATTCGTGCCCGGCCACCTTCGCGGAGGGCAGCGCCGTGCGCGCTTACCCCCGCCTGGGCCCTCCGGCAGGTACATCACCACCCACCAAACCACCCCAACCCAACCCGAAGGCCTCGATTTGCCCTCCATTTCTAGTGGGGGGGTGTCGGGGAACATCGAAAAAACACTGGGAACCGGGAACCCGTACCCCCCGCAACCCGAAATTCGGGTCAAATTCGGGTCTTCGGGTTGGGTTGGGGTGGTCTGGTAGGTAGTCAGTACAGACTTCCGCTTTGCCACTGGGTGTAGGTGGTGGCATCCCGGGTACATCGGATCACGTACGGACATGCGCTTGGCCAGCGGGGCGGGGGTGCGCGAAGAACGCGGCGGCGGTCGCACCCGATGTGCCCTGCGCCCTGGCCTCTAAATTGGTGTTGGTCTCAGCATCGTTTGACCGATCCCTATCCCCATCCCCATTCACATCTCGAGCCCTACCGGACTACCGTCTCACCACCTCAGTTGGGGATATGCCCCTCGAAACCCGAAGAGAGCAGCCTATATCCCTATCCAGGGGGGTAAATCGGCCAGTAGGGCCCAGCCCACGCTGGTGGAGATAGGGACCGGTTAAACGAGCTCACATACGGACATGCGCTTGGCCAGCGGGGCGGGGTGCGCGAAGACCACGGCGACGGTCGCTCCCGACGTGCCCTGCGCCCTGGCTGATAGGCGTTGGTCGGCACGTGGCCCGTTCGCGAGGGAGATTGGCCGCCTGCCCTTCCCTTTGCCAGCCCCCGCGTCCGCGGGCCATTTTTTGACGACCTCCCAGAAGCCGTGGTTCGGCGCAGTCCGCCGTAGGCCTGTGAATCCACGACCCCTCAACCTCGCTGGCATGACAGGTCATGGCCTGGGCGGGCTTCCCAAGGGTTCCTCGATTTGTGCTTGCTTGTTCTGTTGCAGTTTTGTGCGGTGATCGTTGCATCGAGTTGAACTGCGCTTCTCTGCCACGCTGGGGGCCTTCCCTCGTTTGCCGCGCGGTGGCGCCTGCCGACCGTTTCAGTTGAAGGGCTGCGTGTGGTGTGCAGTTTTGACTTCCGCCCTCGGCCCCTGTGTGTCTGGATGGGTGGTGGCCGATTCGCAGGAGGATGAGCAAGAGGAAGGGGATGATGAGGAACGGGGGGGGAGAGGAGGTGGAGGCGGTAGAGGGGGAGGATGAGGCGGAGGAGGAGGAGGAGCAATAGGGGGAAGAAGAGGAGTAACATCAGGAGCATGGAGCATGAGTAGGATGAGCAGGGTAAGCGGGGGGGGACAAGACGACCATGGGACGGCGGGGGAGGGAAAGGATGGGGCGCCAGCGGCCAGAAAGGAGTCGGATCCAGAAGTGCGGCCCGCGCCGGGACGAGAGCGCCGCTCTGAACGACGAGAGCAAAACGCCGACTGTGAAACATGGCCAACGCTGTCTGCTGGGGGAGCACCATCCATCGTCGGAGGGCCGAGAACGGTCCGATCGAACGAACACCAGATTGAACATCACTTTTCAGTTTTTTTTTTTTGTGTGTGTGTGTGTGTGTGTGTGAGAAGTCAGTGCGCGGGACAGGTGTTGCACCACCTCGCAGTATCAGGGTAGCGAGGAAAGTCGTATTCGAGTTGCGCGTGGAGGGCGGAGGGGGGGGGAGGAACTGGATGATGAGGAAGGAAAGGGGAACACGTGAGGGGGAGGACGAGGAGGATGATGAGGAGGGAAAGGAGGAGGAGGAGGAGGAGGAGGAAGAGGAGTTGGAGGAGCAGCAGTTGACACTGATGATGTTAATGCTGGTGGTGGTGATGAACATGGTGAGGGCATGGTGGCGGTCAGGATGGGGGATGGGGAGGAGGCAGGATGATCATGCATGTAATAGCTTATATGGTGATGATGGTGATGAAGAAGACGATGACGACGATGATGCTGATGATGATGATGCTGATGATGAGGATTATGATGATGATGATGATGATGAGGCTGATGATGATGATGAGGATGATGATGATGATGATGATGATGATGATGATCATGATCATAATGACGATGGCGATGCTCATGATGCCGACGAGCATGACGATGGTGCTGCTCATGATGATGACAAAGGCACTGACGATTATGATGATGATAATGCCGATGATGATGGTGATGCTGCTGCTGATGCTGATGCTGATGCAGGTGATGCTGCTGATGATGACGATGATGATGATGATGATGATGATGATGATGATGATGATGATGATGATGATGATGATGATGACGATGATGATGATGATGATGATGATGATGATGATGATGATGATGATGATGATGATGATGATGATGATGATGATGATGGTGATGGTGATGGTGATGGTGATGGTGATGGTGATGAGGACCGTGATGGTGATGATGCGGGTGCTGGTGTGGCTGTGGATGCTGGAGCAGATGGTGGTGACGGGGGTGATGGTGGTTATGGTGGTGGTGGTGGGGATGACCACGAGGGTGCGGCGGATGAGCAGCAGGAGCGCCAAGGCCCGTGGGGGAGGAGCGGCTCGCCACCGCGCGCGCTGGGCCATGGGGCGCCCCTCGGCGGCAGCCGCCGAGACGCCGAGTGCCGCGGGTGACGCTGCACACCCTCCACCCACCTCCTCCTCCCCCCCTCCCCTCCACTCCTCCTCCTCTCCTCCCTCCTCCTCCTCCTCCTCCTCCTCCCCCTCCTCCTCCTCCTCCTCCCCCTCCTCCTCCCCTCCTCCTCCTCCTCCTCCTCCTCCTCCTCCTCCTCCTCCTCCTCCTCCTCCTCCTCCTCCTCCTCCCGCGCTCCCGCCCACTGCTCCACCCTCCCCGGCCGGGACCCGGCCGCAGCCGTGCAGGCCGTCGACATGACCTTCGAGACGTCGATGAGGCTGGAGGACGCCACCGACAGCGCCTACCAGTCCAGGGTCATGCTCGGCCGCCGCAGATCTGCACGCCGAGCAGACAGCGCCGGGGCGGGCCGAGCAGACACCGCCGGGGCGGGCCGGGGCGGGTCCGGGTGGGTGTGTGGCAGTCTCGTCGAGGCAGTGCGGGGACGCGGGCACGAGGGAGGGAGGGCGATGCGGGAACTTGGATGCGACCAGGGACGAGGATTATGAAGGTGATGATGATGATGATGATGATGATGATGATGATGATGATGATGATGATGATGATGATGATGATGCTGCTGGTGATGATGCTGATGCTGATGCTGATGCTGATGCTGATGCTGATGCTGACGCTGATGATGCTGATGATGATGGTGATGATGACGATGATGGTGATGGTGGTGCTGATGATGATGATGATGATGATGATGATGATGATGATGATGATGATGATGATGATGATGATGATGATGATGATGATGATGATGATGATGATGATGATGATGATGATGATGATGCTGATTATGATGATGATGGTGGTGGTGTTTTTTTGGCCGTAGATCGGACAAGAACGTCCGCAGGAGGAGGGGGGGAGAGGAGGAGGAGGAAGAAGGCGGGAGCGCCCGACCCGCACGCTGGGGAGCCCCGCCGGCGCCGGCGCCTGCATGCCGGCGCCCCCGCGCAGCCTGGGGCAGCCACCCGCCTGCGGCACCTGCGGCGTCGCCCCTGCCCGACGCCCTCGCGCTGCAGGCGGCCCGCATCCCCCTCGCGAGCGGCGGCGGATGTGCTGGGCCAGAGGCCTCTGTCGGGGCGGGCGAGGGCCTCGCGCCCGCGCTGGGTCCGAGGAGCGCCGGGCGGCAGGCAAGGCCGTCGCTCTGGGCTCGGCGGCAGCCCCCCGCGCGGCGGCCACGCGCCCAGCATCGAGCGCGGGCGGGCCGGCGCACGCCGACGGCAGCCAGCGCGTGCAGACGGCGCGCGTGCCGCGGGCCTCTGAGAGGCCGCGGCGGCGGCGCATCTGCAGAGCCCCGTGCATCACCCTCGGCATGGGGGACATCTGCGTGAGTTTCTTCACGGCCTGCCTGGTGCCAGACGTCCGGGTCACCCTGGTGAGTTTCCGCATCTGTGCGGAGGCTTTCTGCACGCGCTTCCGGTGCCCGATGCGGGATGATGGTGGTGGTGGTGGTGGTGGTGGTGGTGTTGGTGATGGCGGTGGTGGTGATGATGCTGATGCTGATGTTGATGCTGATGCTGATGATGATGATAATGATGATGATAATGCTGATGACGCCGATGATGAGGAGGTGGAGGAGTAGGATATTGACGACGACGGTGATGATGAGGATGATTATGATTCTAATGACGATGATGATGACGATGATGATGATGATGATGATGGTGATGATGATGATGATGATGATGATGATGATGATGATAATGACGATGCTGATGCATTGACGTCGGTTACGATGACAATGACAATGACGGTGGCGATGACGATATTTGCGATTCTGGCTTCGATGTTGATGCTGTTATTGGTGCTGTTGTTGATGACGGTATTGATTATTATGGTGAACTGATGTGATGATGATGATGATGATGATGATGATGATGATGATGATGATGATTATGATGATGATTATTGAGATTGTGATTGTTATGGTATTGATGATGCTGATGGTGCTGATGATGACGCTGCTGATGATGATAACGATGCTGCTGATCATGATGATGCTAAGGGTAATCCTACTGATGTTGAGGATGATTATGGTGATGATGATGATGGTGGTGATCTGATGATGATACTGATGATGGTGATGATGATGCCGATGCGGGTCAGGATGATGCTGTTGCTGATTGGGTATGATGGCGATGATGACGTGGACGTCAACGACGACAACACTTGTCATGACGATGCTGATGATGAGGTTGATGATGCCACTGATCATGCGGGTGTGATGCGGATTACGATACTGTGACGATGTTGACGGCGAGTATGGTTATGCCGATGCTGCTGACCATTCTTCTGATGAGTGGTGATGGTGTTGGTGATACAGATTATGATGATGTTGCTGGTGGTAAGGAGGAGAATGTGGAGGAGGAGGAGGAGAGGGGGAATTCCCGTAGCGATTTTGGCTCAAGCCAATGTGGCTCCGGGCTTTACATCCTTGTCGCGGGATTTCGAACCCAGGTCCCCGCCGCCGTGCGACAACTATCGCTTGACGCATCCGTTTCTCGATCCCAAGAGGGGGGGCGCGCCGAGAAGTCGGCGGACGCGCCTTCGACGAGCGCAGAGCCGATGCCTGGTGGGGCCAGGTGGCCAGCTCGGTCAAGGCTGGAGGGGGCCTCACTCGGAGGGTTTCCAGGGTGACCGTTGCCTTGGCCCCCGGCGAGGCCCCCCTTTTGGGGGCCCCCCCTGGGGGCGCGGGGCGCCTCCTCGAGGAGCTGGGGCCGGAGTGGACAGGCAAGTGGGGATATTTTTTCCAAGGTAATTCGGGGGTGGACAGAACCCCTAACAGTGACACGTCGATTAGTGAATTGTCCGTTTTCGGTTCGCGAGAGGGCGCCGTGGCCGTCATTTTCCAGGCTCGCGCCCGCCAGGTTTGGGCCTCAGGTCGTTTTCACTAAACCACGTTTTACTAAAGGGGGGTCCGTCCATCCCCGAGTAATGACAGGGACCGCCTCCGAGACGTGCAGTCCAGCACCTCGAGCCGCCGCTCGACTGCGTTTCTGCTGGCTTTTCCGGCGCCCTCGCGTTCTCCATCAGCTCGCTGGCAGTGCTCTCTCTCTCTCTCGTGATGTGGCAGGTCGAGGGGCCGGTGGCCTTCCGTCTCGGCGCTGGGAGGTCATCCACGGGTGTTTGAGGAAGCCCGAGGGAAGTGTTCCGTCCATCAGCATTCTCAAGACTTGTGCCCTCGTGCACTCGGCAGCAAGGAAGGTCGAGGCCAAAACGTAGCAGCTCGAGCGTCCGAGGAGTCCGGCATGCGTTGTCCAATGTAAGAGCTGTGGGCGGGCAGTCTGGGTACAATAAGCGATGATGACATAGGCCCATCGCAATCGGCTGCGTGCGGTTGCGGCGCTGGTCGACTTGCAGAATGCTTGCGGTAACGTGGATATTGGCAACCTCCTAGAGATGGACAAGAGGCATGGCCTCAACGTGATCAGACTTGCCCAAATACTTACTCTGTATGCTGGTCCCAGAGTTATCCAAGTGGGTGCCTTCATCACGGGGTCCTTCCAAGTTGCTCAAGGGATCGTAGCGGGGTGCGCCTGCGCTGCGCTCGTGCACAGGATCAGCCTCGCGTCTGTCGTCGATGGCACTATGACGTCGACTCCGGTGGTCCCGGCGTATTCGGTGGTCGACGATTGCGCTCTCAGTAGCACGCGTGTCAGAAGAAAGTTTAATTACAATTCCTCAACCGGCTTGTATTCCTTAAGTTTCCCTTGACGTAGCTGGTTTTGTCTTTATTGGTCCATGGGCAGTGCTGCTGGCTTGGATGTGTGGATTTGAGGTGGCTCCCATCGGGGGCCGCTTCCAGAGGAGCGGAAAGCGCAGGAGGAGGAGGAGGAATAGGAGGTGAAGGCGGAGGAGGAGGAGGTAAAGGAGGAGGATGATGAGGAGGAGGAGGAGGAGGAGGAGGGGAGGAGGAGGAGGAGGAGGAGGAGGAGGAGGAGGAGGAGGAGAAGGAGCAGGAGCAGGAGGAGCAGGAGGAGGAGGACCAGGAGCAGGAGGAGCAGGAGCAGGAGCAGGAGGAGGAGGAGGAGGAGGAGGAGGAGGAGGAGGAGCAGGCCGATAATGAGCAGCAGAAAAAGGAGGAGGAAGAGGAGGAGATGAGGAGGAGGAGGAGGAGGATGAGGAGGAGGAGGAGGAGGAGAAGGAGCAGAAGGAGCGGGAGGAGGAGGAGGCGGATCAGGTGGTGGAGGAGGAGGAGGAGCAGGAGGAGGAGGAGCAGGAGCAGGAGCAGGAGGAGCAGATGGAGAAGCATGAGCAGGAAAAGGAGAGTCATACGAGTGAGGAGGAGGAGGAGGAGGAGGAGGAGGAGGAGGAGGACGAGGAGGAGGAGGACGAGGAGGAGGTTGACGAGGAGGAGGAGGAGGAGGACTTGCGGTAATATGGCTTTGGGGCGCCTTGGCCTTGTTCGTGGGCCCAGTTTCCTGGAGGCACCACCCTGAAGGGCACGGTGGCCCGATGGTGCGAATAGCCTGGGGCTGTGCTCCAGGCCGCATGGAGTGAAGGCCTCACGAGGGTTCCAAGAGGGCCCCCCACGGCAATCATAGGATGGCTCTCAAGTTAAAATCAACAGCGTAGATCTTCATGCTGGAACCTGCCAGAGCAGCAGGAAAGCCTCCAGAGGGTCCCAAGAGGCCCCAGGTCGGTCATGAGATGACCCACGAGGCAGATCTGCAGCACATATTTCCCTCGTTGGGAAAAAGGCCATTCCCCGGTATTTAGGGCCTCGCAAACCAGGGGAGGTGTCCACAATTGTCTTTCCCGTGATCCCCCATCGCTCCTCTTCCCTCTGCCCTTCCCTGTTCCCTCCCTTCCTCCCTCCCTTGTCCTCTCTCTTCCCCCCCTCCTTCCCTTCCTCCTTCCTCCCTCCCCCCGCCCTCCCCCCCCGTCCCCCCCTCCCCTCCCCCCTATTGTAATGGGCTCCGGCCGATGCCGCCGATCTGGGGGGACGGGGGCTGCATGTCTGTGCGACAGAGGACTGTGCAGGCGGCAGCCGGCTCCTCCATTCTCGCCCTCCTTTCTCACCCCTTGGCATCGCTCGGACGTGTGCATTTTGCCTTCGGCGAGGACCATCCTTTTTTTTTTGTGTGTGTGTGTGTGTGTGTGGTGTGTGTGTGTGTGTGTGTGTGTGTGTGTGTGTCTGTGGTGTGTGTGTGTGTGTGTGTGCTTTTGAGGGGAGAGCTGAGCTGGGGCTCTGATCGAATGGCCTTCGGCCTATTCTGCCACTGTGCCTGGGCTGTGGGTGATAATGAAGTCTCTGAGATGTTCGTGGGGGCGTCGTGGGAGGGCTCTCGGTTTTTTTTTGGAGGCAGTTTTGAATCCTATTGGGCGCCGTTTTTGGGCCTCTTGGGGCGTCTTGGGGGCCTCATGGGGGTCTCTTGGGGGCTCTGGGGGGCTTCTTGGGACCTCGAGGAGGTATCCTGGGGCGGAAGGCAGGGATTATCGGTTCGGGCTTCTCATATGGGGCCTCTCTTGGGGCTGACTTGGGGTTTTCTTGGGCAGTGGGCGCCTCTTTGGCGGTTTCGGGGCTCTTGTGCCGTCTTGGGGCGGTGTTCGGGGGTCTTTGGGACCGTGTTGGGAACTTTTTGGAGCGTCTTGGACGTCGTGAAGGCCGAGAAGTCGGACATGCTAGAAATGCCAGTTTCCCCAAGATGGTTTTTGCCTTTTGGTGCCCTCCTGGGGGTGCTCCTGGGGCCTCTTGGGACGTATTGGGCGCTTTTGCGGCCGACTGGAGGCTATTTTGGGCGTTTGGGCTGGATCGTTCAGCGATAGTGTAGGGCCTCAGAGGCCCTGAGTTGAGGCCCCCCAGCGGAGCAAAGCGGAGCAAAGCGGAGCACACGCGCACCAGGGGGGTCCCCCCTTTCCCCGGCAGAGCCACCCTGGCCCCCCCCAGCAGAGCTGAAGCTCAGGCCCTAGGCTGTAGCTTAGGCTTTTTGAACCTCGCACGTCATGCTGGAACCTGCCAGAGCAGCAGGAAAACCTCCAGAGGGTCCCAAGAGGCCCCAGGTCGGTCACAAAAATGACTCACAAGGCATATCTACAGCACATACTTCCCTCGTTGGGAAAAAGGCCATTCCCCGGTATTTAGGGCCTCGCAAACCAGGGGAGGTGTCCACCATGGTCTTTCCCGTGATTTCCCATCGCTCCTCTTCCCTCTGCCCTTCCCTGTTCCCTCCCTCCCTCCCTTGTCTTCTCTTCTCCCCCCCTCCTTCCCCTTCCTCCTTCCTCCCCTCCCCCCGCCCTCCCCCTCCCCCCCCGCTTCCCCTTGCCGCCGCCGCCTCCTCCTCCCCCGCCGCGCCTGCCTGCCCACCGCCGGATCCCGCGCGCGCCGGGGGGACCCAGGCCGTGCAGGAGGAGAAGTCCGAGGAGACCGAGGGGTCGAGATCGTCATCTATCTTCGGCCGGTTGTCGAAGGCCCGGCCGGCCCGCCCCCCACGCTCGTGGGCCAGCGCGCGCGCCAGCATGGGCGGCCAGGCGGCCCAGTGGCCGGGATCGTCTCGGGCCAGAGGAAGGCGGGGAGAGCAAGGAGGGTCGGCCACGCGCAATGTCAGGAGGGACAAAAACACACAGACACAATTAATCGTCGATCCCCAAGAAAAGATGGGAAAATATGGGAAGTGGGGGGAAGACAAAATCACAGAAAATATGAGAAAATATTGAATATTGTCATTTGAGTCTATGTATTTGTGTGTCCCCGGGCCCCTCCAGCAATGGGGGGCGGTGGCGGAGGGGGAGGGGGGAAGGCTTCTTAGAAGCACCCCTGCTTCTCAGAGGGCGCGGGTCTTGTCCACAGATGTGGGGGCTCCGCTCCGGCGCTTTCTAAGAAGCAGCCTCCTTCTAAGAAGTCATCCCCCTCCCCCTACTCCCGTGTGCGCGTCGCATAGGGACGGGGAGGGGGTACTGCTAGGATGCGGCTGCAGGACCAGCTGGGTTTCGAAATCGAATAGCAATGCCGCATCGGCCTCGCCTACCTCGCAGGCCTGCCCCGAGCGACCAGGTTTGACCGAGGAGGACGGGGAAGAATGAGGCTGGGGGATGAAGGAGGGCGCGGGAGGGAGGAGGAGAGGGAGGGGAGGAGGGAGGGAGGGAGGGAGGAGGGACGATCGCTGCCCTTCGTGGCCCCGTTGCTGCCCTCAGTGGCCCCTTCGCTGCCCTTCGTGGCCCCTTTGCTGCCCTCAGTGGCCGCGCTGTCGCCCTTTTTGGCCCCATACATGTATGCCCATCGTGGCCCCCGCTCGCACGCGCCCGTCGTGGCCCCATATGCATGCGCTTCGTGGCCCCGCTGTCGCCCTTTGTGGCCCAATATCTGTATGCTCTTCGTAGCCCCCGCTCGAATGCGCCCGCCGGGGCCCCACATGCATGCCCTGTGGCCCCGCTGTCGCCCTTCGTGGCCCCCTCGCTGCCCTTCGTGGCCCCCTGACTGCCCTGAGTGGCCCTGCTGTCGCCTTTTGTGGTCCCATGTATGTATGCCCTTTGTGGCCCCCGCTCGCTCGCGCCCTCCGTGGCCCCATTGCTGCCCTTCGTAGTCCCGCTGTCGCCCTTTGTGGCCCCATGCATGCCCTTCTTGGCCCCGTTACTACCTTCAGTCGCCCCATCGCTGCCCCCACTGGCTCCTCATTCTATGCCCTTCATGGCCCCCGCTCGCTCGCGCCCGTTGTGGCCCCATTTGCGTGCCCCTCGTGGCCCCGCTGTCGCCCTTTATGGCCCGCTCGCTGCCCTTCGTGGCCCCCTCGATGCCCGCAGTGGCCCCGCTGTCGCCCTTTGTATACCCATAAACGTATCCCCTTCGTGGCCCCCGCTCGCTTGCGCCCGTCGTGGCCCCATATGCATGCCCGTCGTGGCCCCGCTGTCGCCCTTTGTGGCCCCCTCGCTGCCCTTCGTGGCCCAGTTCTTAGCCTCAGTGGCCCCATTGCTGCCATCAGTGGCCCCGCGTTATATTCCCGTCGTGGCTCCCGCTCGCTCACGCCCCTCGTGGCCCCATATATGCCCATCGTGGCCCCTATCACTGCCGTTCTTGGCCCACGCTGTCGCCCTCTGTGGCTGTATATGCGTATGCCCTTCGTGGCTCCCGCTCGCTCGCGCCTTCCGTGGCCCCATTGCTGCCAACCGTGGCCCCGCTGTCGCCCTTTGTGGCCCCCTCGCTGCCCGTCGTGGACCCGTTGCTATCCTCAGTGGCCTCGTCACTGCCTTCTGTGGCCCCGCATTATATGCCCATTCGTGGCCCCCGCTCGTTCGCACCCTTCGTGGCCCCATACACATGCCCTTCGTGGCCCTGCTGTCGCCCTTCGTGGCCCCCTTGCTGCCCTTCGTGGCCCCTATCGCTGCCCTCCGGGGCCCCACTGTCGCCCTTTGTGGCCCACATACGCATGCCCTTCGTGGTCCCCGCTCGCTCGCGCCCTTCGTGGGCCCATATGCATGCGCTTCCTGGCCCCGCTGTCGCCCTTTGTGGCCCCCTCGCTGCCCTTCGTGGACCCGTTGCTGCCCTCGGTGGGCCCCTCGCTGACATATTCGCATGCCCTTCGTGGCCCCCGCTCGTTCGCGCCCTTCGTGGCCCCATTGCTGCCAACCGTGGCCCCGCTATCGCCCTTTGTGGCCCCCTCGCTGCCCGTCGTGGACCCGTTGCTATCCTCAGTGGCCTCGTCACTACCTTCTGTGGCCCCGCATTATATGCCCTTCGTGGCCCCCCGCTCGCTCGCGCCCTTCGTGGCCCCATGTGCATGCCCCTTCGTGGCCTCGCTGTCGCCCTTCGTGGCCCCCTTGCTGCCCTCGGTGGCCCCGCTGTCGCCCTTTCTGGCCCCATAGTTGCCTGCCCTTCGTGGTTCCCGCTCGTTTGCGCCCGTCGTGGCCCTATACGCATGCGCTTCGTGGCCCCGCTCTCGCCCTTTGTGGCCCCATTGCTGCCCTTCGTGGCCACGCAATCGCCCTTCGCGGCCCCTTCGCTGCCCTTCGCGGCCCGTCCCGCAATCGATGCCCTTCGTGGCCCCCGCTCGTTCGCTGGGCCCGTCTGGTGATGCCACGTGTTTTTTGCTCCGAGCCCCCCTCCTGCAAATCCCGTGCTCCTTCCTTCTCCCCTCCCCCTTTCCATTCGTCCTCTCTTCCCCTGTTCCAGGGTCTGCGCCAACTACGCGCGGCAGGTAGGGAAGATATACCCCCAAGGGGGGACGATCGAAGGCGACGAGGGCGGGTATTGAGGGTTTGGGATGTACGTGCTGAATGGCATGCGAGCAGGTAAGAGCGATCAATCTTAACATGCTTGCTGTTGCTGCTGTTGCTGTTGCTGTTGCTGTTGCTGTTGCTGTTGCTGTTGCTGTTGCTGTTGCTGTCGATGTTGTTGTGATTGGTGGTGGTGTATGTGTGATTGTTGTTGCTGTTGCGGTTGCTGTTGTTGTTGCTGTTGCTGTTGCTGTTGAATTTTCATTTCTGAAGAAAAGTTATTGTTGATCCCCCTCACCAGTGCATGCTGTTTTTTCTCAATCAAAATGTGCCCCTCGACGCTCGCACCTTGTTTTTTGACAGGGGACGTCTTGGTGCTCAAACTGTGCCCCTGGCCACCCAGATTACAACAACAACGGCTCCCGCTTGATACCTCCCCCATATTTACTCAGGACCCCCGCTCCCGCTTGAGACCTCCTCACAATTTACTCTGGATCGGTGCTCCCGCTTTTGACTTCATCGCAATTTAGTCAGGACCCCGGCTCCCATTTGAGATTTCCTCACGATTTACTCAGGAACGGCGCTCCCGCTTGAGACTTCCTCGCTATTGACACAAGACTTCCTCGTAATTTAATCAAGACCCCCGCTCCCGCCAGAGAACCCTTAATATTGTATTCAGGAATTGCGCTCTCGCCTGAGACTCCCATACAATTTATTCAGACATCGCGCTTTCGACGTTCAGGAAACACGCTGCGCCAAGGACGCCGTCACAATTTGTTTAGGAATCGCGCTCTTGCCATACTCAGGCATCCCGCTTGAAGTCACATCCGCCCGACCCGCCCGTCAGGGGATCGCCCGCCCGTCGTGGGCTCCCGCCCGAGACTTCCTTCAGGAACGGCGCTGTCGCCTAGGACTTCCTCGAACGTTCACGCTCTTACCTTCCTGCTCCTCCTCCCTCTCCCTCCTCCCTCCTCTCCTCCCTTCTCTCTCCCTCCTTTCTTCCCTCATCCTTATACCTCTCTGCCCTCTCCCCTCTCCCTCCTCTCCCTCCTCCCTTCTCCCTCCCCTCTCCTGCCTCCTCCCTCTTTCTTTATTTCTTTCTTTCTCTCTCTCGCTCTCTCCCATCTCTCTCCCTCTCTTTCTCTACCTCTCAAATATTTTTTCTCCTCTCTCCCTCTGCCTCTAATCAACCGCCCCCCCTCTTCGCTCCTTCTCTTCTGGCTTTTTCCCTCTTCCTTCGTCCCTCCGCCTCCCTTCCTCTCACTCTCCCTCGTTCTCCCCCTCCTCTTCTTGAAGTGCCCACACCAATTCCAATGGCGGGCACACGTACGCACACGAAGGATTGTCCGCCCGTTCAGGTTTGCCCGCCTGTAAGCCCGCCGCCCCCCGCAAAGAGAAATAATCCCCGCAAAGGGGGGGTGTGATCGAAGACAAAAACGGCGGATATCGATGGTGTGGGGAACTCGTTTTGAATGACACACGGGCGAGTCAGAGCGAACAGTCTTGTAATGATTGTTGTTGTTGTTGCTGCTGCTGTTGTGGTTGTTGTTGTTGTTGTTGTTGTTGTTGTTGTTGTTGTTGTTGTTGTTGTTGTTGTTGTTGTTGTCGTTCTTGTTCTCGCTGTTGGTTGTTAATTCTTGAACAACCCTTATTGTTGGACCCCCCCCAGGCGCTTTGACGCTCTCGCCTCGGCGCCGGCTACATTTTCATTGAAAATGAGGCTCGCACTCGAGCGGTTGGGGGGGGGCGCCAGAACCGCCCCCCCAACAACAACGACGCTCCCGCTCGAGACATTATCGTTCTATTCTCAGGGCCAGTGTTCTTGCTCGCCGCCGAAAGCCGCCGTCCCAACAAAACCAGCGCTACCGCTCGAGACTTCCTCCCGTTTTGCTTAGGACAGGCGCGCTATTCTCTCATCGGTGCCAGCAGCAACAACGCTCCCGCTCTTGAGACCTTCGTTTTTTTACTCAAGGCGGTGCTCCTCCTCGCCGCCGAAAACCGCCGTCCCGACAAAACCAGCGCTCCCGCCCGAGACGTCCTCCCGTTCTACGCTGGATACTCTCTTTTAAATTGGCGCCGCTCCCAGCAAGAACAGCGCTCCCGCTCGAGGCTTCCTCCTTTTTTTTCTCAGGACGGTGCTGTTCTTCGCCGCCGACAGCCCCCGTCCTGACAAAACTTGGGTCCCGCTCGAGACCTCCTCCCTTCTTAGTCAAGGCGGTGTTCCTCCTCGCCGCTGACAGCCGCCGTCCTAACAAAACCAA